CAGGCAGAAAACCCTATACCATTTCGGACAAATGGCTGTCCAGTCTCTTCTTAAAAACTTCCAGTGTTGGAGCAATGTTTCTTAAAAGTTTTTTTTTCCTCTCAGGACCCCTTCCTATTTTTTAAAAAAATATAACTTTTGTTTATATGGATTACATTTATCAACATTTACCGTATCAAAAATGAAGACTGACACATTCGCTGCTGCTATGGCTTCTCATGATTATTTGATGGAATTTTAATATTGTATTATTTTTCAGCATGGCTTATTAAATAATTTTGATTTTAAGGAGCCCTGGGATGGTCCTGGGAATACCCCCCATGGATCCTAGGAACAATCTGAAGAAGCACTGCTCTAAAGCACCATAAAGTAGATTACTTTGTTTGTATATTCATTTAGAGGGATGTTTGCAGTGCAAAGATGTACAATAACAAACCTTTCACCTACATATCTATTTTAGTAGGGTAGCTGTTTTAGTCTTTTGCAAAAAGAGCAAAGCTCTTAAATTGCTCCTGGATTTGAACAACTGGCCGGTCATGTGCATCCTTTCCGACTATTGAAAGTGTTCAAGTTCTGGTCATGTGGCAAAACATAACTACAGTCCTTTTGAATGTGTATGTTTCCAAATATGCAGTGAGAAATTGTGAGAAGGGGGAAAGGTAAAAAAAAAAATTACCCCTTGATTTATATTGCAAACTGGTTTAATAAGTTAACTCTTAAGTAATTTCTTGCTGTTTTAAATACAGGTAGCCCTCGACTTATAACAGTTCCCGTAGTCACAGTGTTCTGGATCATAGACAGTTCAAAGTTAGAACAGTACTGAAAAAAGTGACGTATGACCGTTTTTCACTTATGACCATTGCAGCATCCCTAGGGTCACATGATTAAAGTTCAGACACTTGGCAACTGACTCATATTTATGATGGTCGCGGTGTCGCAGGGTCACACAATCCCCTTTTGCGATCTTCTAACAAAGTCAACGGGGAAACCAGATTCACTTAACAACTGTGTTACTAACTTGATCACTGCAGTGATTCACTTAACTACTGCGGAAAGAACGGTCGTAAAAATGGGGCAAAGTTCACTTAACAAATGTCTTAGCAACAAAAGGTTTGGGCTGAATTGTGGTCGTAAGTAGTTTTAATCTGTCTTTCATTCTGTGATACCAGGAAAACAGAAACATAAGAAAGAAATGCATCACAGCATAATAAAAATGTAAAGCATTGTCCAGTTTTTTTGTTCTCCATGCTAGTCATGCTTAGTTAACTCCAAAACAAATATAGTACGTCTGCTTTTGCACAAAAAAAATACATGAACAAATAGCAGTTGGATGCATAAAAGCCAAGATTTTGTTCTATTGAGAACAGCTATTCACATGCTGTTTACTTTAGATTTCAAGACACCAGTTGTAACTTATAGTTTGCACAAGACATTTTGTAGCTGGATGTTACTATTCATGCATATATCCTAAGTGCATAAATATGTCTCAGATTTATCACTGCCCAAATGTGAATATAGCATAGCTTTAAACTAAGGTGTACTTGTGCAAATCCTCACTTTTGTTTATAGAGAACTATAAACATATGAATACCAATCCATTTATATGGATGTACATTAAGTAAGAAATAGAAAAGCAGGCTGAGTTCATATGCACCAGAAGATTCAGTTATGTAATGTGTTTCTTTCTCACCCAGGCACGTGTAATGCAACGCCTGTATGTGTGTGTGTCACATCGACTCAACCTGTTGGCAAACCCTGATTTGTCTTTTATTGGAAGAGATCTGTTCTGTTCTTTCTATTTTTAAGTGACTAAGAGGTGTTTGGCTGCCATGGGAATGTGGGGAGAACAATGTGAGCGGCTCAGCAGATGGATAGGGTAATACAGTGGGTGAGAATGAAAGGAACAGAACAATACCGCGGGTGTGAATCTTCTTCTAGCACATGTACACAGCCATTTTCCTCAGAATGCCTGGCTGGGTTTTAGGATGGTTAGATGGGACATGTGGCTTTTCCGTTAAGAGTGCTGAGAAAAAAAATGACAACTATAAAGGCGAGGTGGAAGGAAAGGGAGATGCCTTGTTGTCTTGGTTTGGAAGGTGATATTTCATACTCCAGTTCTAAGACACAGTAGAAGCCTGAGGGGCCATTTCCAGCTGTTTTAATTTCAGCATTCAACAAACATAATAATGATTCCTGCTTCCCCCAGTTTTTAGCAGAAAGGCTTTTATTGAAGATGCTGCCAATTTCCTGCTATTGTTGTTTAAAAGGTCTTGTATTGACTGATCAATTTGTGGTTGGCCTGTGGGTTTTATACTTTCTGCATCTTGTGGCAGACTGCTCAGGGATGCTTCAGCCTGGGTGACAAAGAAGTAAAACAGCATTTTAAAATACTTAATTTTGCTGTACAAATGATGTGCCATCTAGTTGGTGTCAATTCTTAGTGACCACCGATAAATCTTTTCTATGAACTGTCCCTAAGTGGGCCTTCAGGTCTTCTCCAATGGTGCACCCAGGACTGCTATAATCAAGTCCATCAAGCTTCTGGCTGGTTCTTCTCTCCTTTGTTTTCCTTTTCACCTTCCCCACTATTATTGACTTTCAAGAGAGTTAGGTTTCAATAATTTTGAGCCTGGGCATCTGAGACCTCTGGATTGATTTGTTCCATGGTATTCTCAAAAGTCTTCAACACTAAAATTCAAATGTGTCAATACACTTTCTACCCTTTTTCAAACTCCAGCTTTTTGTGTTCATAAAGTCACTAAAATAAACACTGCCTGCACGATTCCAATTCTGATTCAGTCACATCAGATTTTTTTTTTTTTGATACTCTTGACTTTCTGAATTATCCGTCACACACAAGCAATAATGTCTCTTTTTCTTTGGCTTTTCTAAAGCCTACTTGAACATATGGCATATCCTTTCTCTTCCAAGATCCAGGGAGGATCAAAGATAACATATCAACATATCCAGGAAGGGGGGAGCAAGAACCCGAAGTCATTCTGTCTTGCAAGGGTTGAGCTAGAGCAAATTCCTCATCTAGAGCAGGGGTGTCAAACTGCCGGCCCACGGGCCGGATGCATCACCGGGAAACCACGCCCACTCCATTGCTGGCAATGGGGAAAAAGCTCCGATACGTTGCGCGACATCATGTGACATCGCGAGTTTGACATGTCTGATCTAGAGCGTCACCATTTCCAGGCACCTGGCCAGTACCTGAAGAGCATCATTTGACTGGCTAGGATGGAGGTTTACATCAGTCATCAGCATACTCAGTATACAGATAGTCCTCGACTTATAATCACAATTGGGGCCAGAATTTCAGTTGCTAAGCAAGGCGGTTAAGTAAGTCATGACAAATTTTATGACCTTTTTTGCCACAATTGTTAAGCGAATCACTGCAATTGTTAAGCGAATCAGTCATTGACTATGCTTGTCGGAAGCCACCTGAAATCACAAAATGGCAATCACATGACACTGCATTCACCATTCTGAGCTATCTTGATGCAAGGAAAGTAAATTTTTCCACACATTCTCTCTCTTCACCGATTTCTATTTTGAAGTTTCCTTTCCTTGCAATGGCCATGACTTTGGTCTTTTTGACATCCAGAAAGAAACCAAAATTCTCACTTTCTTCTTTGATTTTCTTGATCATATGTTTGATTTCTGAGGGAAGAGTTGAATCAGCAGCACATCAAAGATCATTGATGTTTCTTCCACCAACCTTTCCCCCAATTCTTCAAGGTCTAGCTTCCTCATGACCATTTCAGCATCCAGGTTGAATCAGATGTTTGATTTCTGAGGGAAGAGTTGAATCAGCAGCACATCAAAGATCATTGATGTTTCCTCCACCAACCTTTCCCCCAATTCTTCAAGGTCTAGCTTCCTCATGACCATTTCAGCATCCAGGTTGAATAAGAAAAGGGAGAGAACACAACCTCATCCCACTCGGAAGCCCAGCAAAGGAGCATCTTCCCTGGGAACATTTCCTCATAATTAAGAAGCTACTTGGGTAATCAGCCAAACGTTTCAATTTTTTTTAAAAATAGACCAGTTGCCATGACTCAACTTTCAGATTGCCTCATGAGGCATTTCTCTGAGAGCCAAGGGAAGAGCGGGTTCAGTGTAACTCCTGGTTTTGACGACTCAGCGGAGAAAGAGTTAAAAACAAAAGCTCTTGCAGCGTCCCTTGTTTGAAATTTCCTATAAAACTGCCCACAGCACGGGAAGCCAGCTGTTACCACACCTCAGGCTCGGCTTCAACCGACGAGCAGCCGCCCGCGTGCCCAAAAAAATTTCCCGCCTTTCCCCCCCTCAGCTGGCGGTGCGCATGCGCCAACCTTTCTTGCGGCGATTGGGGGGAGTCTTGCTCTCAAGTGGAGTGGACAAAAAAAATAAATAAATATCCGAGGTCTATTCTCGCGAGACTTGCCTCCTTTCTCCTCTTTCCTCCCCCTCCCCCCCGCTTGCGTCTCTCAACTCGACGTCTTCTCTCGCTTCTTTAAAGAGATTCGACCAATCGCGAGGGGAGGCTTCCTCACCTGGGCGGCCGCGCGCTCGCTCGCTGGCCGGCCGGCTCGCGCGGCCCCCTTTTCCCAGCGCCCCGGCCAATCCAGAGAAGGGCTCGCGAGCGCGCGCCTCAACCTCCAGGGCAAGCCGCCCAATCGCGAGGTAGAGAGTGGGTGGGTGGGTGGGTGGCCGCCAGAGCTCCAGCCAATGGCGAAACGGCGAATTGGTGGGAGGAGACTTTTCCCCCCACACACACAGTTTCTCCCTGGCGCGGCCGAGCGCGCGCTCGCGCTTCGGCCACGCCCCCTTCCTCTCCTCCTCTCGCCTCTTCGCGTTTTTACCTCAGGGCCGGGCTGAGGGGTTTAGGCCTCGCGTGCAGCCTCGGCCTCGCTTAGGGCAGCCAAGCCGGGCGATGACGACGCCACTGCGGCTCCTTCTTCTGAGGCGGGTCCCTCACTAGGCGCCACGGAACGCGAGCCCCAGCCTCCGCCGCCATGCCGGCCAAGAGGAAACTGGTGCCGCCGGCCCTCAACATCACCCCCACCATCGCCGAGGGACCCAGCCCCACCGGCAGCGGCGAGGGCGACGGCTCCGAGTGAGTTGGGCTTCAGCCCCGCGTGGGTCGGAGTGGGGCGCCGGTTATGGGTCTGAGGGGAGCGGGCGAAGGACGCGAGGTGTTTGTGAGGGGGTGGGGGAGAGCGAGGGGGGGAAAAAAAGGAGGAAAATTTGCTCCCGGAAGGTATTTCGGGGTTGTGTGGAGTTGTTGTGAGGCGAGGAAAGGTCGGGGGAGCCGCTGGGAGGGAGGGAGGACGCGGTCGGCCTTTGGAGGAGCATCTCGATCCACGAACGGGGACGGGGGGGGGGCTGCCTCAAGGCGAAGCCCCGAGAGGAAGGTAGACCCGCAGGCGGTGGAGCAGCTCGGAGGAATCGGGGTGGTGCTGGTGGTGGAGAATAGAATAGAATTATTAGCATTAGAATTATTAGCATTAGACAGGACAGAATTGAATAAACAGGGAGTTTGGAGGTCTTCTAGTCCACCCCCCCTGCTCAAGCAGGAGATTGGCTGTCCAATCTCTTCTTAAAAACCTCCAGTGTTGGAGCACCCACAGTTTCTGGTGGCAAGCTGTTCCACTGGTTAATTGTTCTAACTGTCAGGAAATTCCTCCTTAGTTCCAGGTTGCTTCTCTCCTTGATGAGTTTCCATCTGTTGCTTCTTGTCCTGCCTTCAGGCGCTTTGGAGAATAGCTTGACCCCCCCCCCCCTTCTTCTTTTTGGCAAGCCCTCAAATATTGCAATACTTTATTGGTCTTTAGGGTCCAGGAAAGGGTGGATGGGGGCGTTGGGATGCGCCCCATGGGAAAGAGGAATGAGGTCCTGCCAGGCAGGTTCTCCTTCTGCCCTGAGATGGTCCGGAATGCCAATCGAGGAGAATATTTCTGGCTCAGGGTTGAAATGAGGGAGGGTCTCTGAGGATGGTGGTTTTCTTGCAGACATTTCAGGAGACCCAAAATGGGATAATAAGTGAACTGGCACTGATGATGTTACCTAGTTTGGGTCATGAGACGTGGGCAAGAAAGCCACCCAGCTCAGAGACCACCAAGGACCCCACAGCCCTTCTCCTTCCTCCTCTTCTCCACTCTACAGACCCTGTTCTCTTCTGGCACTTCTGATGTTACCTAGCTTGGGTCATGAAATGTCTGCAAAAAAAGCCACCAAGCTCCGAGGACCAAGGATCCCACACCCGCCCTCCTCCTCCTTGTCCTACTTCTTCTCCACTCCACAAACCCAGCTCTCCTCTGGCATTGCTGATGTTATTTAGTTGGGCCATTAAACACTTGCAACAAAACTACCAAGCTCAGAGAGCATCAAGGACCCCACAGCCATCGTCGTCGTCCTCCCCATCTCCTCCATTCCACGAACCCCCCACTCCCTTCTAGCATTGATGATGATACCTAATTTGGGGTCATGAAACGTCCTCAAGAAAACAACAAAGGAACCCTCTGGGTCTGAAATGGTATAGGATCTCCTGCCATAGGCAGGGGGTTGGACTAGAAAACCTCCAAGGCCCCTTTCAGCCCTATTATTCTATGTTCTATGAAGAACTTGAACAGAGAGGAAGGATGCAGTGGCCACCTAGACCTGGTGAAAAGACCAGCAAAATCAAGTAACAATTCATTTAAAACCAATGAAACAGGTTATTTTGTCACCTCGTATTGGCTGGCCAAATGTTCGTAATTAAGGGAGGAAGAAGATTTTGCTTGATACATCTCTTGAAAGAGAACAGTGTGGCCATCACTTTTGGTCTACAGTATGATCAACCATAGTTGTGGGTGAAGTCAAGTTGTAATTCCTGATGAACAGATGTTGGAGAATGGAATGCTTCCAATCATGTTTGACAGATAATAGAGACGTTAACCTAAGACAGAACCAGACTGTAAGACCTCATTCTGTCAATCAGGTTGGAGCACTGGTGGGAAGAATGTAAAGGCTTGTATGTCTGCTCTTAAAATGATCTTGGCAAAAGTTTGCCCAAATAAATCCTTGTTTCACTACTACAATTGAATATTATGCAATAGTTCATTCTATAATAGCTGAAAAGCTGTCTATAACTTACATAGAGTTTTAAAAGATGTTTTCATTTTCTTTCAGCATATTTTATATGGCATGCTATTCTTCAGGCTCCTTATAAGTGAAATGCTGTTCCAGACCATTTTTGCTCAGATAAAATGAGGCATTCAAGCAATATTTAAAATGCATTTTACAATATTACAAAACAGAATTGGGGAAACGATTTATTATAGTTGAAGTACTGATACACCATAAGAGGAAGAATGAACTGGCAAAGTAATGACTGGGGAGACAGAAGAAGGAGAATGTTGGGTGTATAAAACATAATACTTTGCAAGTTTACTTAGAAGCTGACTTTTTAATCCAATAGGCCATATTCCCAAGAATTTGTACTTAAGGTTTTAATCTTGAAAAGGTCCATGATTAGGGGGAACTGAAAAGGTCTGTAAGAATAGAAGTGAAGCTTCAACTGACAGGGCAGTGATATTCAAGACTTTTCACATGTAGAATGATTTGTGTTGAAATGTGTTTTCATAAATAAGTTGAAGTGTTGTTAGTCATAGGGGTGAGGAACAACTATCAATGACCTGGAAAGGCATAATTGTGATGAGAGATGTTAGCCATATAAAGGATGAAGCCTATATAGAAATGTGGGCAATTAGCAAAAAGAATGAATGAATACAGAATAGAATACAGAATAACAGAGTTGGAAGGGACCTTGGAGGTCTTCTAGTCCAACCCCCTGCTCAGGCAGAAAGCCCTGTGCCATTTCAGACAAATAGTTGTCCAATCTCTTCTTAAAGCTTCCAGTGTTGGAGCATTCACAGCTTCTGGAGGCAAGTTGTTCCACTGATTAATTGTTCTAACTGCTATTAAAGACAGTAGCATTTTATATTTACATTAATAGATGTAGATTTCTACATTTCTAGAAAGTTTTGAGAAACAGAAGCCATTTGTCCTCTTATTGATGGAAAGAGGGGGTATTCTTTGAAACTGCATGAAATTTTATGTAGAATATTATTTGAAATAAATAATAGAAGGGTATGTATATGTGCGCACACACATATATGTATATATGTAGTTAAATATGCTTTAATCACATCACTTACAATGATAACCAACAATTTAGATTATTTTTAAAAGTGACTAGACCAGGGATATCCCACCTTGATAACTTTAAGACCTATGGACTTTAATTCCCAGAATTAACCATGCTGGCTGAGGAGTCCATAAGTCTTAAATTTGCCAAGGTTGGACACCCATAGACTACATGAAACCATGGAAGTCCAAATTATCGGTAGATAGCTGCTGATTTTGGTAGTGGAAATAATGCCAAGATTCACAGGCTTGAATAATTACCAGCTGCCAAGGAGTGACAATGGAAGAGAACATCCACCTCCCTGCATTTTTAGTTTCCAGAACATGTGTGGTTGGGCCCCTGAACCACATAGGAGGATGCAAGACTGAGCGGGGTCTTCGATACAGCAAAGATTTTCTTATAATCTGTGTTAGTATGGTAGTGACCCGCCTAATTAAAATTATTAATCTGCTTCTATATTATTGATAATTTAGAAGTGAATGTTGGAGAGAGAGAATCAGTATTCAGAAAATATGAAAGTGTGTGCCATAAAATGTTTAAGAACAGAGTACGCATAATGTAGCAGGGAGCAGCAATTAGGAAGAATTGGAGATATCGAGTAGAGAGATTGTGTGGAAAGAAGAGCAGTAGCTTAAAGCCAATAATAAAAGAATTGAATGGCAATTATTTTTATTACATACTTTTATCCTGTCTTTCCCAAGGAGTTTAGGGTACTATTAACTGTAATGGCATTCTTATTCCCCCCCCCCCCCCCCCGGGTTTGCACTCTAGTGCTATTTCTGTAACAACTTTGAACAGTTGGGAATATGGAAATGTGTAACTACCGGGCAGGACCATCGTGTATTCAGATTCTAGTGCTGTTTTTAACCCAGTCTATAACCAGCTGCAGCCATTTTGTGAATTGGTTATCCCTCAGGGCAGTTAGTTTGTGAGGGTAGACATGAAACTTTCATAAAAATCTTACGTCATCTAAGCTAAAAATTTGGAATATATATGTCTGTGTACATTAATTTTAATATTTTACTGATTATAGAAATCGCTGTTCAGAAAGCTTAAAACATAATTTTGTGTGTGTGTGTGTCACAAAACTCACCCATACAGTCAATTAATTATGGTGTATTTGCATAACCTGCTTATACCATGAATTACTCAGTGACACACTGAAGCATAGAAAGCCATACTCGCTGGATTTGCATAGCATACTTGCTTAAAATGTTCTTTCTTTTTCATAGTGTTCTTTGTTGTTTGTAGTGTTGACCACATTCACTGTCACATGTGCCCAACCTTACAAACATGCAATGTACAGGTAGTCCTCAACTTAGGACCACAATGGACCTTAACATTTCTGTTGTTAAACAAGATATCTGTTGTGAGTTTTGCCCCATTTTACAACCTTTCCTGCCACGGTTGTTAATTGAATCACTGCAGTTGTTAAACGAACCTGGCTTCCCTCTTGATTTTGCTTTTCAGGGAGTTGCAAAAGGTGATCACAGAACCCTGGCACACTGCAACTATCATAAATATCTTTAGCCATTTTTTCCAGCGCTGTCGTAACTTCAAACGGTCACTAAACGAACTGTTGTAAGTTGAGGACTATCTGTAATAAAGCGTGAGACTCGTGGTCTGTGATCTTATGGTAAGATACATGCTGGAGTAGAGATTTGAACCTGGGACTAACGATGTAGGCCAGAGGTCCATCACCTGCAAATAGGATGGACATTTAATAGATTGGGGAATTGTTTTAAAAAATGTGCTGATTGAATTTCATGGGAAACCAGTGGCCATAGGTATCTGATTTAAAGGACGCTGGCGAAAGGTAAAGGTCTCCCTGTCCAGTCGTGCTCTGACTCTAGGGCAGAGGTGGGCAACCTTGGCTCTTTTATGACTTGTGGACTTCAACTCCCAGAATTCCTGAGTTGGCGTGGCTCAGCTTGGAAACCTCTCCCTTTCCCCTCAACGTGGCTGGCTCAGGAATTCTGGGACTTGAAGTCCACGAGTCATAAAAGAGCCGAGCTTGCCTACCCCTGATCTAGGTCTGTCTGTCTGTCTGTCTGTCTGTCTGTCTGTCTGTCTGTCTATCTATCTATCTATCTATCTATCTATGGCAGGGGTAGGCAACCTTGGCTCTTTTATGACTCATGGACTTCAACTCCCAGAATTCCTGAGCCAGCAATGCTGAGGGGAAAGGGAGAGGTTTCCAAGCTGAGCCATGCCGGCTCAGGAATTCTGGGAGTTGAAGTCCACGAGCCATAAAAGAGCCAAGGTTGCCTACCCCTGCTCTAGGGCATGGTGGTCATGTCTGTTTCTTGGTCGAGGGAGCCAGAGTCATCCGAAGACATTTTCCATGGTCATGTGGCCAGCACAGCTGTATGCTGAGGTGCACCAAACACGCTGTTACCTTCCCACCGAATGGGTACCTATTGATTTACTTGCATTTGCATGCTTTTGAACTGCTAGGTGGGCTGGGGCAAGGAACGGGAGCTCATCCTGTCCAGCAGGGCTCGGGTTTCGAACCCAGGCTGTCTGCTTTCCATCTGATCAGCTCAGCTTCATTAACCGTTATAAGCACGCAGATAAAAATGGGTACAGTATGGGAAGAAGGGCAGGGGGTTGAATATGTGAGTTGCTGATTGGTGGGAAAGATGATGTGTGCTTCAAAATTAAATTGTTCAGATTGATCTAGTGAAAAAAGTCGCATCTGTTGAGTATATTTGGAGAAAAGAATGATAAGCTGGCAATTCTGAAATGCTCGGAGGGGATTTACAATAAGGAGCAGCGATACTTAAAAGAAACTGAGATAGATCGGTGGAAATGCTGCAGATTCTTGCACAAAAGCAGCAGTTTGATGGAGGGCAGCTGACCATATAATGTGTCCTTTCAAGAGCTGTGTAAATGGATCAGGAAATTACATCTACATATTTGTAATGGAGAATATTATAGCAAAAGAACTGCTATAAGCACTGGGGTTCAGATCAAAGGAAGCATTTGCTGAAGGTGTGCAAATGAAATGTAAGGGGAATTATGCGTGGAGGAGGAATCAAAACTGTAGAAAAAAAGGAAAAGCAGGAGAAATAATGCACAAGAAAAACTGCCCGCTTTAGATAGGTTATCATTTTTGTTGAAAGATTTTACCTAATTAAAAGATAACCAAGAACAAATTATAAAGTAGAAAATATAAAAGAGAAAGAAACAGGAGAGAAAAGAAAATGTAAAGCCACTTCTAATCTTCATTACAACAGTTACAAACTTTTATCATCTCCCACCCTTAGAGATCTATTATATAGACCTCTTCTTCCTAGATTTAATCCCTTTTAATCAGCAAACCCTCAAACCACCAGTTTATTTCTGTCCATTTTCAGCAAAAAGGTTTCCAGTCTTTTATAAAAGTACTTATGGACTTAGATACTTTAAACAGGACATATTTTAAATGGGAAGAGAGGAATTTTTGTAACTTAAGAACTGGAATCTGGGAACCATCAAGATACAGAATTTACTGCCTATCTTCTCATCTTTCTATTGGTTTTTTTTTAAAAAAAGCGTATTTCATTTTTTCCCCCTGAGAAATCATTTATCCAAATGAACTGTCCTCCACCTTCTAAAATAAAAATGTTTTTTAAAGATGTCAGTTCAGTGGATTCCTACTTAAAAATAAGCATCTCTGAATTTTGCTTGATTTATTTTGAATAAATATGCATAGAATTGCAGCTACAGCAAATTTAAAACTTGCACTGAGCTAGGATAAGAATGATTCCACAAAGTGGGCATTGCAAAGGAGAAACTCCGAATTATTTATAGCCTAAGACAGTGGTGGCGAACCTATGGCACACGTGCCAGAGGCGGCACTCAGAGCCCTCTCTGTGGGCACCCGCGCCGTTGCCCCAGCAGAGTTCACCAGAGTAGTGAGCATGTGGCGTTTGGAAGCGACAGGGCAGCAAGTGAGCAAGCAAGTGGCATAGGCCACCCAGGGATGCCCCAGAGATGGTGAGGGACTGGCCCCGGCCACGCTCACCCAGTCTGCCGTGACCACTGCAGCCACGCCCACCCAGTGGGCTATGCCCCCCATACCCCCCCCCCGAGGGCACCACAATGCTGATGCAGCCCTGGCACTTTGTGATAAATAAGTGGGTTTTGGGTTGCAGTTTGGGCACTCGGTCTCTAAAAGGTTCGCCATCACTGGCCTAAGACTTGGAGAGGTCTAATATTAAGATGTTTCATTTTCAGGAATAAAGCTTAACCCCGTGATTCTTATGCTGAAGAGGAACAATCATGTTAATATAGCTTGAGTATCTTTCAAGAGACCCCTCAAATAACCATTGACATGAAAACGTGGGAGGGGGGGAAAAATAAGAATTTAAACCCCGGAACATAAACCTATAGAGGTTTTTGATACCTGTGTACTACAGTACCCAAATGTTCTGTGCATATAAGATTTTGTTCTTACCTGTGTTAAAGAGATAAATTTGGTCAAGTTTTGTCTGTGAGCCTTCTGTTGAAGGAGGGAGGGAGGGTTAAACATCCAGAGACTTGAGGTTTTCAATTGTATCTCTGTGAAGTGTGACTCTCTCTTTATTTACAATTTTTTTTTAAATAACCAAACCGAAAACCCATTGTGCAGATCACAACAATTAAAAATGAATAATAATGTTAACCCTTCCCCCAGTACTGCTTAACCTGAGTTAGAAGCTCAGTGAATTTAAACTGCCATCAGTACTGTTGTAGATGCCCCAGTGTAGGGCGCTGGAATTCACAATTATATCCGCAAATAGAATGTTGCTAAATGGAAGCAAAGTGTAGAGCTGGAACGACATGCGAATGGGTTAGCAGGGGGGAGAGAAAAAGCTGAGGAGCTTGTTTAGTAAATTGTTGTGTGAGTGAGAAATTATCTTGAACAAAAGAGGATTTGGAAGAAGCTACTATCAATGGGGGGAATTAGGCAAGATTGAGGCATTTAGAATGAAGGAAGGGGATTGTGAAAACTTACAATCTCACTCTAGTTGAAAGCATCAAGAAGAAAAAGGGAAATAATCCCAATGTACAGTACATTAAAAAAGCAAATAGAATTAAAAAATAACACCAACTGGCAGAATATATATATATTATTTGAAAACCTCTGCCCACATTTTGTTTAGGCGGCTTGGAGAATATCTTGTTTAGATGGAGAAAATAGACATTCCTCGTAGCCAACACTGAATATTAGAATGCAGCCTGGCAGAGAACTAAGCAAATACTTTACAGTCTTCAATACAGGTAGACCTCGACTTACAACCACGACTGAGCCTAAAATTTCCATTGCTAAGCAAGACAGTTGTTAAGTGAGCTTTGCCCCATTTTACGACCTTTCTTACCACCGTTGTTCCGGGAATCATTCAGTTGTTAAGTTAATAACATGGTTGTAAAGTGAATCTGGCTTCCCTATTTCTTGGCTTGTCAGAAGGTCGCAAAAGGGGATCACGTGATCCCAGTACACTGCAACTGTCATAAACATAAGTCAGTTGCCAAGCATCTGGATTTGATCGTGTGACCCTGGGGATGCTGCAACGGTCGTTAAGTGTGAAAAATGGTCCTAATTCATTTTTTTGGGGTGCTGTCATAATTTTGAACAATCACTTAATGGTTGTAAGTCAAGAACTACCTGTACATAAATTTGGGAAATTGTGGCAGCCAGGTGATTTCCCTACAAGTCATTCTAACAGCATGACTAGCCAATATAGTAATGTCCCTGCTGCTCCACTCC